CTCTCTCTCTCTCTCTCTCTCTCTCTCTCTCTCTCTCTCTCTCTCTCTCTCTCTCTGTGTGTGCAGCCGCATTGTTGCGTCTCTCTTCTTCGCCGCAAATTACAGGCAAAGCTGACATGCGTTCGTATTGCCAGAAGTATGCCTGGTATGTCATGCGCACTCTCTTACTGGCACATACACAGACTGTGTGGAGGGTTGAGGGTCACACGCGCGCGCGCGCGCGCGCACACACACACACACACACACACACACACACAGAGAGAGAGAGAGAGAGAGAGAGAGAGAGAGAGAGAGAGAGAGAGAGAGAGAGAGAGAGAGAGGTTATCCAGAGACTGGTAATTCAGAGCTATGTATCTGTTCCGTTTAGGATTCGATTCTGTAAATGTTGGGGCATACTCACCCTAGGACTGTTTTGACCCAGCTCTGAGTGAGCTACATTCGTTGGGAGTCGTGATTGTGGCCATATGCATCCAGGGCGTTTCTAGGCTCAGCAAGGTAAGGGTCTTAAGTACTGGTGGTTGAGCAGAGCAATCCTTCTCACGTCCTTTCGGACAAAATGTGGATCGATTCCGAAAACAAAATTAAAGGAATGTGCCGAAGGACAACGAAATGGGACTTCCCCCATGGTTGTAGATCTTTCTAATTTTAAATTAGTTTTACTTCCGTTGCACTGGCTATCACAGGACTGTACCAATTCCTGATAAGAAGAAATAGCGAAAAAAGAAAAAAGAAAAAAAAAAGAAAAAAAAAGGGAATGCACCAAGCCCATGTGGCTGATGATACACCCATGCACTGTTGATAAGCAGACCTGCGGCCAGGCCCCACTAGCAGGGTTGAGTTTCCTCAACGCCTGAATCTGGACGTGTCTGTGGATATGTGCCGAAATCGCGTTGAATTTCGTCAACCGCACATCTCCGCGTCCAGATTCAGACGTTGAGGAAACTCAACGCTGCTAGTGGGCCCTGGCCCCTGAACTCCGGGGAATGACGATACCTCAAGGCTGTCCCATTTTCGAAAGAAAAAGAGTAAAACATGGGCCAAAAACTACTTCTTTGCAACAAGTTCTGACGAAGGGAAGATGAAAACGTCCTCATGGTTGAGAAGACCTCTTGTTAGAGTGGCAAACAGGTGACAGAGTGGGTGCCGCAATTTTCGGCACCAGTTTTAGGGGAGAAGCTTGCCGCTATAGGCAACCTTGTTCTCAGACACAGGCCCACACCAGTGGGTTCATCTTTAGGACTCGTTTTAGACCCTATTCCGACGATGGCTTTCCTCCGTAATATTTCATAGGGGACCAATTTTCCCCCCTTTGTTTGAAATTTGAAATTGAAATGGAATCAGATAATCAAGGGGATGCTGGATCCGGGGCCAAGTCCCACTTACCCGGATCCTCCGTTCCCGACCGTAGATCATGAAAATCAACGGCCAGAAATGAAGAATCCGGTCAAGTGGGACTTGGCCCCCGGTTTCCAGCACAGTAGAAGATTGGTTGAAACTTGAAACTTGGAAGTTACCAGAAAAAACCCAAGAGCCTAGCTCAGTGGATACACCCATGAACTGTTGAAATAGGTGCTGTGTTCGAATCCAGATGATGGAACTTGACAAGTGAAACCAAGTACTAATAAATTGCTTGGGGGGCCGGTCAGCTCAATGATCATATCTCAAGGCCGTCGCCCTTTCATTAGTACCTTTGTCCGTTCGAAAATACTCGGCCTCCGAGCTTTCAGGAGGCCGAAACGAAACGACGGCCGCCGATCAGATTGATCATTGCCGGGCTCGGCCTCCGGAAAGTTCGGGAGCTGGCAAGTACTTGTCGAAACCGGACGCCAAAGGTACTAGTGGTTTAAAAAAAAAAAAAAAAAAAAAGTTATCAGAAAAAAATCATAGGAGGTGCCACCCAGATTGGTGAAAGTTACGGATACTGGGGAACGGCCCCGGCCTTTCCGTGTTGTTGCATTTGATAATAAAAGTTTTTTGGATTCTTCCAAAAAAGAAAAAAAAAAGAAAAAAGAAAAAGAAAGAAAAAGAGTGGAGAAGGGGACCACCTGGGCCCAGCAGGGATATTGGATATTGGCAGCTTGCTGCAGTAAGCTGGTGCTTTTTTCTTTTTTTCTTTCTTTTAATTTTAATTTTAATTATTTTGTTAAGAACATTGCTTCAATCTATTCGTGGGGAGCTTCACGCGCCGGGGGCCAAGTCCCAAATACACTGATTCTTTGTTTGTGGCTGTTGATATTGGTAATCTATGGTCAGAAATTGAGAATTCGGGTACGTGGGACTTGGCCCCGGGAACTGGGCCCAGTGTCCCTTATGAACATTGAATAATTGGAAAACCAGATAGTTACAGGGGCCATTACCGACATACCTTTCTCAGCTTTTTGGCTAAAAATAGATCAAGTGTAGTATCTGTTCTGAATCTTCTGATCAGTTTAATATCTGATCCGTGGTCCATCGAAAAAAAAAGCATTAAAAAGAAAATATCACCCGGCTTTGGCTGAGGGATTCTAAGAAATTGTGAACCATCTCCTCCTAGTGGTAGAAAGTTACAACCGGCCTAGCTCAGTTGGGAAGGCACGCAAGTGGCATTCAGGAGGTCTTAGGTTCAATCCCCATTGGCCTCATGTACCTTCCTGGGCAAGCTAGGCGCCCACCACCTAGAGATAAGCCGTTGGCCCCCCGAGAGACTGTTCATGTTCGTAGGGAGGGGACTGGAGGGGAGGCACAGCAACTGGCCCATCGAAGAAGCTTGGTCCTGATGCTACTGGCTGACCCCTGGCCGGTATTGCCCACCTGCAGGTCGGGTGCAGTCCCTCATGTTCCCTCGTTGGAGGCTTGAACTCGAGCTGGCTGCTACGGGTTCCCCGTAATACTATATAAGGATAATAAAAAAGGTCTGAAAGGCTGTCCTGTCCAGATTTGACAGGCAATTGAATTGGCTGGGCTTAAAAGAATTAGCCTTTTTAACAAAAAAAAACTAAAAAAAAGGTTACAACTTGGAAGATATAAAGAAAATTAGCAAACACCCCAGGATTGTTTTATTTTTGGAGAAAGGGGAAGAAAATTGACCATAATTGTGAAACCGAGAAAAAGAATCCCCCCTCGTCGACTAGCCCACCACCCGAACCCAATCCCCTCTCTGGCAAGATTTACCCCTCACAAGCACCATCTGGTGAGCCACTTGCCCTCCAATTAGATGGGACAATGGCTTGCTACTGTAAGCTAGATCGTGCACCTAGTCATCGCCATTGTCAACTGCCTTCTAGCCCAGGACACTCTGGATTTCGGCAGTATACTGGGCTGGTTCATGGCTTCTCCCGATATAGGCCAGACAAGGATTTTCACTTGTGAGCAACATTTGAGACCTGGTCAATAGCATTGCAATTTTGGGATCACTCGTGTCCATGCTTGGGCGTTCAGAGTGGCCATTTGTCCAAAGAATGCAGCCACCGAAATGCCAGAAAATAGAATTATTAGAGAAGACAACAAGCATGATCCTTGTTGATTTGCTATAGGCAACAATTTTATAATTTGGGTCATAGTGGGTAGCACCGTAGCAGTGTTTACCTTTACAGCACCAGTGTGTGACCGAGGTGTGTCGGTTAACATGCCGGTCTTTTGTGAATGTACGGGCTTGTTGTGCCCACTTAAACCACCAGTACTTGGCCAAGCTATCGGCCGAGGACAAAAATAAAGTAGAAACATTTTTAGTGAATGAATTTGGGTGCTCTTGTAGTGGTCCATACGTTTCCTAAAATCGTGGCTTGTTAATGGGCATGACTTTAGGAAGTACTGGTGGTTTAAACCACCAGTACCTTTGCCCGCTTGAAAATCAATTCCGCACCGGGTAACGCGGAAGCCAATCGGAATCGGACCACCATTGATAAATTGAATTGGTAGCCTGGTTTCCGTTTCCGACTCTTTTTTTTTGCTCGCGGCCGGTGTATGGGAAAGGTACTGGTGGTTTAAATTCATTCATGATAAAATAGATGCAGAGGCCCGCAGAGGCCCACAGAGGCTCAGTGAACAGTCTTAGCTACTAGTGGTCTAATAGCTTCTCGAATGCTATGCTTGTGTGCGGCATAATTAATTAGAGTGTGGCTCCATTTGTGCTATTTATATACAAGGCTAGTGTGAACTTAGCCATTTTTGCCACTAGGTTCCTAACTTCCTACTTCGCCATTTTTGCCACTGGGTTACTAACTTCCTATGAATCGCATGTTGACAACCGTTCACAAACATAGCTCGTCCTAGTGCTACCGTGATCCGAGAGCAACTGGTCCTCCATAAGCCTATGGAAGCCTATCAAAGTTGGGAACTTCGGGAAGGACTGGATGTAGGGGGTTATGCTTCACAGTCAATTGCAATATTATAGGCCTTGGAAGGCCAGTCTTCTTGAACATTAGCTACATGTGGATGTGATTCAACATTGAATGTCATGCAACAAGTAACTGAAAAAAACGCAGTCGGCTCCCCCTACACGCCCCCAAAAAAACAAAACGCCATGGAAGTGTTTGCTTTTTCTTTTGACTGGTGCTGCCAACCATTTTGGCCCTGTAACATTGTTCATCTGAAGAACCAAGAATGTCGCACACTTGATTCTGAAGTTTACCTGGGTGAGGTACTGGTTGTTTAAAGGGGGAAAAACGCCCTCGCCTGATCCACCTCCTCACCAAGACTGAATAGTCTTTATAAGTGCCTCAGTGCAGTTACACCATCAAGGGTGTTCATGATTGCCAATTCGGGGGTGAAACTGAGCCTCATGATCATGTAGTAAGAGATTGTATGAGGTAAGGTTGATATGCTTGACTAAAATGACGATTCTTTATGTATTCCGACTTGCATTTTGTTCCCCTGTGATGCAACTTGAAACACTCTTCTTCATCATTCCTATGGGGCATCTTAAGTGTTAGATAAACGAGGAGGAAAATGAGAACTGAAGTAGGAAGTTTTCTGCAAGGAGGGGGGTTATTCGGTTTGGATTGTACGAATGGGATGAAGGGATTTGGATTACAGTTAGTCTTGGTGTTAACATTGTTAAGTTTGTAGGTATGGTGAGGGTCTTGATATGAGTGACATTCAACAAACAAACCATGGTTGAGGCTTGAGAAATTGGGCAATTTCGTAGGAGGAGCGAAGTAGAAGTGTATGAGGATAAGTAAGAAAAAAAAAAAAAAAAAAAAAAAAAAAANTTATTCGGTTTGGATTGTACGAATGGGATGAAGGGATTTGGATTACAGTTAGTCTTGGTGTTAACATTGTTAAGTTTGTAGGTATGGTGAGGGTCCCATACGGCCTGCCACTCTTGGCTGCAACCATGGTTGAGGCTTGAGAAATTGGGCAATTTCGTAGGAGGAGCGAAATAGAAGTGTATGAGGATAAGTAAGAAAAAAAAAAAAAAAAAAAAAAAAAAAACAATTATTCATTTTTTTTTCTTTTCTTGCCCTTTTTTTTCCCTCTTCCTCCTTAATCATATTATAATCCATCCTATTCATCGTTTCTCCTTCCTCCTCATGGAGAAATGGCAAAAGGAAAAAAAAAAGATTAAAAAAAGGGAGAAGAATTCTAAAAAGAAGGATTATGAAGGAGAGAAACGAAGAATAAGGATAATGAAGGAAAACCGTGAATGAAAGAAAAAAATAAAGGTGATGGGAACATTAGGATGGTGATAACCACATCAGCGGTGATGTGTTGGATAACAAAGAGGCGAAAGAAAGGGATCAAGAGGTCTAAGAAAAAGGATAAGCAGGGATGACATATATAAAATACTATATATATATATATAATACTATATATACATACATTATACATAAATAATTCATTGTTTATATACTAAGCCCATTTTTAAAGCTTGTGGAAATTTGACGGTCTTTTGCGAATCGTAATGAGATGTTGATTCAGGTTTTAGCGAGGTGTGAGGCTGCACAAGGTGATACACAAGATGCTTCTACAACAGGAAGACGTGGAACCCTAGTGGGACTCTCGGCATTGGCAGCTGCTGTAAGAACACCACTTATTCCTTTGTGTTAACCAAAATTTCTTAATTGTTTTGTTGTTTTTGTGTCCAGTGGTTGGATATTCATTGAAATCTCAACATGATTTTCATTTTGCTTTCGCCTTTTTTCTCTTTCTTTTCATTTTCATCTCTTCCTTTGCTTTTGTCTTTATTATGTTGTCTCTCTGTTTACATTTTTGTTTTTCTCTTCATCTTCATTTTGATATTTGCCCTTGTTTTTGTTTCTATCTCAGTTTAAACCATAAGTTCACACAAAGCTAAATTGAAGAACCAAAAGTTGCATGTTTCCGAGCCTGACTGCTACAGTAACAGGCTGAAAAAAAAAATATGGGGTTAGTGGAAAAAATTGTCCAGTAGTACCTCGTGTCAGCAGATGGCACCCAAAAGACGAGCGGAAAAAAAAAAAAAAACAACTAAATTTAGATCAATGATGAACAAAGACCGTTGTCATTTCGTAAAAGAATAAAAAGATGTGGGGGAAGCCATCTGACCTAGGGCATACTCACACTAGTACCTGTCTCTTATACACATCTAGATGTGTATAAGAGACAGGCGTCAAGGGTGTTCATGATTGCCAATTCGGGGGTGAAACTGAGCCTCATGATCATGTAGTAAGAGATTGTATGAGGTAAGGTTGATATGCTTGACTAAAATGACGATTCTTTATGTATTCCGACTTGCATTTTGTTCCCCTGTGATGCAACTNTTTTTTTTCCCTTCTTCTTTCTTGTAGTGCCTTACCAACGAGGCAGGATGTATTCCACCTTCTCAGGAGAGGCCCTCACTGAGGGCATACTCGTACTACCGTCTTCACTCGAATAGAACGCCCGATCATTATCACTGCATCTAGACCGAAAATTGTGTCAAATACAACTACAATGACTGGACGTTCTATTCGGGTGAAGGCGGTAGTACATTCCAGACTTTATCTGACCGCTATCATGGCCATATCTTCCATTTTTTTTTATTTTTTTCCCCCTATTTACATTCTTGCGAATGCCCTCACTCAAGGCGTACTCACACTACTACTTTCCAGAATGTATTGGATGGATATTACGTCAAAATCCGTCGTTGTTTTCCTTTTGTTTTTGGCTTTGTTTCCTTCTAAGATTAGTGTCATGCCAGCAAGGCAGGACGTCTGAGTAAATAGTGCAGTCAAGCCCAATTTCTCTTTTTTTTCCTTGATTTCGTTTTCAATCAATTTTTTTTGGGCCCACCTGTCTTTTCCCTCCGAACCTATGTCGTGTCGGATCACTGTTCATCTTGCTACGGTCGCAGTGTACTGCGTTTTGGTGAATAGTGGGGCCCGTGAACTGGCGGTTTAACTTTTATTTTGGTCCGCCACACCACTATCGAAACGAGGGGTTTTGCAAAAACAGAAGTTCCCATGCAACCTCTCAAAATTATGATGAGGGGACTCCTACCTATAACAACCCTTGTTTCGAGGGTCCTTCTCGTCCCTTGCAGTAACACTTGAAATTTCGAGAGTAGGCCTGATGTTGGGACTGATGAGGGCTTGCTCGTTTCTTTGGGGTTGTTTATCTTTTCCCACCCAGCTTTTGCAAAATCGCTTTTTGAGAGTGGTGTGTGGCGAAGTGGTGTAAGCTTACGAATTCTGCGTTTCTTGAGTTTATGAGTTTTCTCAATTCTTTTATCATTTTTGAAAGCGGTGTAGTGAGACCTTTTATTTTTAGTTTCGCCTGTGCCTTTTCGTTGATGTTGTTTTATTTTTACTAATTAGTTCTTCCTTTTCCTCATTTTTACTTTTGCCTTTGTATTCTTTGCTTTTGCCTTGCTTCCACTTTCTTTTTTTCCCCTTTTTCTTAAAAGGCTAATTTTTTGCTTTAGATTTTCAGTTTGCCTTCACCTTGAGCTTTGCCTTGATTGTCATCTCTATTTGTGTTAGTCGTTGTTTTATCTTTACCTTTGTGTTCGCCTCCACCTTCATCTACCTGTTTGTGTCTCCACGTGCAAATATCTTCATCTTTGTGTATTTGTGGTCATCTATTTGTATCTTCACCATGCATGTCGAGATGCTGCATCTTGATCTACATGTGTGCATGGATGCATGCATGTGTTGTTATGTGTGTGTGTGTGTGTGTGTGTGTGTGTGTGTGTGTGTGTGTGTGCATGGAGGCATGTGCTTGGTCATGTCTTAGGGGTGCATAAGCGTTCAAGTGTCGAAGAGGTTATTTGTTTGATATGAAGATGACCATCATGATGGTGATCATGACAATGGTTATAACACCGCCACCTCCAACGATGATGATGATGATGGTGATGGTGATGATAATGATAACAACGAGGATAATAATGATAACAACGAGGATAATAATGATAATGATAGCCATGAAAGCCCCAATGTGGTTATTCATCATAATTATCACAGCCTGGCACTCTATAATTACCGATAATTTCAGGAAAGAGTGAATAGTGCTCTAAGGGAAAAGGTTCATCTTCGACTCTTGCTTTCTTAATGTAGTTTTCACCAAACTTAGCCTGACCAGGTTAGGGTTTTGGTATTGTTGGGTTTTTCTTGGGGTTTATGGTTTGTAATTCTCACCAAACTCAATCGTCCCAGGCTATCATTACTGTTGGATCAAAATGTTGGTATTGATTGAGATCTTAAACCACCAATACCTTCGCAACTGTTTTGTTTCCATGTAGCATTTAACACGTCGGTTCCTTGGGGGATCGATGGACCAAACGGAAAAAAAACACAATTTTGCACCTGTGTTGGTTCGACATTTGGAAAAAGAGGCATGGATGTAGTGGTGATTTAAGGAGTCTATGGCTTAGAGATAGGGAACTTGACCTATTATGTTGCTCAGAAAAAAAGTTAGCAAACAAACTACTCACTAGTTGAAAAAATCGCTCCCTTGTCATTCTTGCTCTTTCCTTATTATGCTCGTTGATGATTTGGGAACTCTAAATTGGACATTCTCTCGTTTTCAACGATGACTAAAATATCACCAAACTATGTACTTCATTTTAAGTGTAGTCATGGTAGAAGTATTCTTTTAGTTTCTTTTGAGATCTTGCATAATATATAATTTAACTCTCATGCAAGCCAAATGTTTGGATTGTTGCATTGTTCTATTTTAAGATGGTATGCTACATGTACTAAACATCAGATAGGAACTTGGCTTGCGATACTGTTCTATTTTTTTATGGTCCTCTGGGATAGTTTTACATTTTATTTTTCATGTTGTGTTGCATATACTGTGCAAGTTGGAACCTTCAATTGTTATCTTGTTTTATTTTTAGATATTAGGTTGCATATGCTTAATAGGTTAATGCAAGGTACGACATAGTCACAATTGTACTTCCCCAAATTATGGAAAATATATTTAGATAATTGAGGAAAAGATAAGCATACTCACACTCGTGACATTCACAATTTGACAAATATCAGACGAGCAATTAATATAGTCCAACATACTCGCACATGGCCGCAGACTTTTGTGCACTCTGTCGAAATTGCGGGTAACATAGAAACGAGCATGGCAAGATCACCTCATAAGGCAACCCTTCCTTGGGACCCATCTGTTATTGAATTTTGGGCTAGGAGAAAGAGGTAATGGGAAAAGACATGTTTGCCTGTTTGCAAAGATATGTGTGATCACTCCCAAAGTCTATTTTTAGATATCCCTAGAACTCAACTTTTGTTATCTTGTTCTATTTTTAGCTTCAGAAAGATTGCAAAAGACAAGTCTGAGTATTCTCCCAAAACTTAAATCTTGTTATCTTGTTCTAATTTTAGATCTTGTGCTGCATAGTCTTACACAAAGGTCGAAATTGATTTGTTTTCTTGTTCTATTTTTAGATGTCATGCTGCATATGCAATGGAGATACTTGAATTGCCAGCCTGTTCTATTTTTAGATTTCGTGCTGCATGTACTTATGCAAGGTAGCGACCTTAGTTGTTGTGCTGCATTTACTTGCACAAGGTAAGATTTTGTAAGAAATTTGAATTGTTTATCCTATTCTATATTTAGATGCCATGGGACATATATCTAACACAAGTTAGAAACTTGAATTATTGTCCTTTAGATTTACTTTTTATATTTTTCGGTGCTGTGCTGCATATACTTAACGCAAGGTAGCACCTTTAATTATTATCTTGCACGATTTTTAGATGTTGTGCGGCATATAATTAATGCAAAGTTGCTCTTGTTGGTTGCTTGCATTGTGGCAGGCATCGGTGTGGTCCCCCCCTCTATTTGTTGGAGTCGATGCATCAGCAAGCGCTGCCGATTTGACTCAGAGAATCCAAAGAGATGAGTACCGCGGTGAGTAAGTGAATCTCACCATAGATAAAGTCTCCATTCACTGACTTCATCTCGGTAGAGAGACAAAGTCACCCCGGGACTACCTGGACTGAATATTACTGTAACTGAGGTCAGAGGCAGCACTCACAATAGTCTTTTGAATTTGGAGTTCCTCATGGTGCTATGTTTTTGCCTAGGAAGCATGAACCTGGTCGAAAAAAATGGCCGGGTTCTGGTGAGCCCCTGGCCCTGACTAGGGCTAGACGCAGCTGGTGCTATGTTTCTGCTCAGGGAGCATGAACCTGGTTGGAAAAATGGTCAGCTTCTGGTGAGCTCCTGGCCCTTACTCTAGGTCCACAAGAGAGTCACCCTAACCGCCGTCTTCCTTCAAATGTACGCATGCTATGTACAGGTGGATTTAGGACACTCAATTCGGCCAAGAGCTGCGGTTGCATAGCTGCCGACCGCCGACCCCGACCACCAACCGTTTTGCAGCCGACCAGTGGGGCCGACCGGTTGGCGCGGTCTGCCGACCAGTCAGAAAACCGTCATCCACTGAGCTCTTTTCAAATCTGAGTTGGGGGCTGTACTGCGCTTGCTGAGTACACCCCAAATCCACTGAGAAACTTTTGGGAATTGTTGGGGGGGGGGGGGGG